TGTCTTCCATGGAAAAAGGGGGTGGCGGTGCAGGTGGCAAGAAAGGAAGACACCCGGTGTCTGCAGAACGAGAGGAAGACCCCAATATGAAGGGGAAAGGGGGTTGCGGGGGGAGCTTGTCACGTTCCCTGGGAGGAGGTTGCAGTGGGGTGGGGGTCGGTCTCTTCTCCCAAGTAAGAAGCAGTAGGACGGGAGGAAACGGTCCCAAGTTGTGCCAGGGAAGGTACAGACAGGATATTAGGAAGCAATTCTTCCCTGAAAGGGTTGTCAGGAGCTGGAACAGGCTGCCCAGGGAAGTGGTGGAGCAGCCATCCCCGGAGGTGTTTGAGAGGTGTGTGGTCATGGTGCTGAGGGACAAGGGTGGCCTGGTCAGTGCTGGGTTAAGGGTTGGGTTTGAAGGTCTTAAAGTTCTTTTCCAACCCAAATGACTCTATGATTCTAAACACCAGCCTTTCCAGAAGCTGCCCTTGTGCATCCCCTCGTGCCATTTTGCCTGGGCACTGAGAAGTGCCCAGTGTGCCCGTCCTGCAGGGCCCTCTGAACCTCATCCCACCTTCAGGTGGGAGCAGCAGCCGTTTAAGAGGTGCAGCCCATGGCAGCTTTTGAGAACTGCAGGGAGCTGCATCTGGTTCTAACTTTTTATTTCCAACAGGCTGTGCAGAATGTACCCAGACCCCAGCAGACATGTTTGTCAGACTACACTATTCATCTAGTGTCTCACTTGAAATCCCTCAGAAGTCTCAGATGCAGAACATCTGGACCTAGTCATGATTATTTTTTTTTTCCCTTAGTACTGGTCTTTCTTATAAAAAAGAGATTAATTTGGGATTAAAGAGCCTGTTCCCATTCCTGTTGGAGGAGTCAGATGCAAAGGAATTGGATGCATAGTGCTTGCTTTGCCTTCCCTTCCCACTGCCCTCTGCCAAAAGGGGATCCACTGGATTTACTGTGTTTGTCTCAACATTTCTGGTTCTGGTACACTGAAAATATCCATTTTTTTGCACCAGTGGCTGTATCCTTGTGGAAAAGCAGCAGGTCTCTTCTCCTCATCTGACAATTGCTTTATTTGCTGCTCCTGCTTCTTGACTTCACCTGGGACAGATTTCCAGATTTGTTTGCTTTAGGTCCAGACCCTTGGTCCTTCAGCTCCAGCTCTACTGATTTGCCTTGTGCCATCTTGATTCCCCCAGAGGACAGAAATATTTTCCTACTTCCTAGTGTTGCACTGATCCAACCTTTATCCTGCAGCACTTGGGAAGAGAAGCTTCCTGTGGCCATAGGCAGTTATTTCTACATTGGTGGCAGCTGCCTTCTGAGATTTTTTCCTTGAGGTCTGTCAGACAAAACAGCTCCATGGCAGTTCCTGTCACTTTTGTTGGTGCCTGCATTTTGCTAGTGATGCTCATCTGTGTAAAGTGCCACGTGGGTTGCAAAAGCAAGACTGCAACACCTGTGAAGCTTCAGATAGCATTCTCACCTGGTGGGATTTGTATTTTTGTACCACCATGTATGAGTTTTCTTAGCCTTTGTAGATGGTGTCACTGTAACCTATGCAGGTTGTGCACCTCAGCTACCATTGTCCTCTCTATTGCAAGGAAAGTAGTTTCTGGACCTGGCACAGATCAGAGGGCTGGAGCACCTCTCCTATCAAGAGAGGCTGAGAGAGTTGGGGCTGTTCAGCCTGGAGAAGAGAAGGCTCCAGGGAGACCTCATAGCAGCCTTCCTGTGTCTGAGGGGGCTACAGGAAAGCTGGGGAGGGGCTTTTTACAAGGGCTTGTAGTGAGCGGAGGAAGGGGAATGGATTAAAACTGGAAGAAGGGAGATTTAGGCTAGACATTAGAAGAAATTCTTCAATGTGAGAGTGAGAAGTTCTTCAGTGTGAGAGAAACTGGCACAGGTTGCCCAGGGAAGCTGTGGAAGCCCCATCCCTGGAAGTGTCCAAGGCCAGGCTGATGGGGCTCTGAGCAACCTGGTCTGGTGGGAGGTGTCCCTGCCCATGCAGGGGGGTGGGATCTAGATGATCTTTAAGGTCCCTTCCAACCCAGACCATTCTGTGATTCTATGATGCTTCTATGATTCTGAAGGTGCCTGTTGCATACCCAGGCCTTGCAGTGTAACTATGCACAACTGCATGAGTGCCTCTTGTCAAACAGGCTCCAGGTGTCATCTTGGTGAAGAGTCATGGGGCAAGAGCACCAGTGGTACAGGAAACAATCCAGTGCTCAGCTTGTGTTTTGCATCTTTGCACAGCTTGCACCTTCTCTTTGCTCCCCTGGAGCTGCAGGGGTGAACAGGGCCGTGGATCAGCCTGGAGACTGGCCCTGGGGTGGGAAGCAAGGAGGAAGATTAAACTGCCAGTCATCACCAGAAGCAACAATGAGGCCCAAAAGTACCTGAATGAAGACATGAGTTGCTGCTGTTCAAGCAGGTCAGCAGCAAGAAGGCCAAGTATGTAGATAACATGAAGGTATTGAAGTTTGTCAGAGAATGACAAGAGCTTTGCTGACCTAGAAGAAAGCTGTGCTCACCCACAGCAAGAAGGAAAATGGAATTCAGTATCCCAAAGTCATGCAGCTGCAGGGAAAATGTGAGCTGCATAAATAGCTCTAGTATTTGACCTACTGTCACTGTAGCAGGTCAGGCAAGAGCACCAGGCAACACGAGAGGCATTTCAGTGAGGTCTCAGTGAGCAGCTCGGTACAAGCTCAGTGCTGTTCACTAGGGAACCACCATCAGAAGAGCAGAGAAGGTGTCAGGGACCCAGGAAGGGCAGGTTGGAAATAATGCACAGAAGGGCACTGTGCCTCCCAGCACTGCTCCCCTACTGCACTGCTGCTTTCTCTTCCAGAGCAAAGGGTCTGAGGACAGCTGACCACACATAGAGACCAGCCTGAGTGCCTGAAGGGCAATGAGTCAGGAGGGGTTGGGGAAATACAACAAAGAGGATGTGATAAGAGGATGTAGAATAATAATCAGCTGAGAAATGACAGGTTGGGAGTCCCTCTACTTCCAGCCTTTGTGAAAGGAGAAAAGAAAACAGATTATGAAAGCAGAAAGCTTTGAATTCCCAACTGATAAAGAAGAGCCCTTTTCCTCCAGTGAACATGCAGACCCACGGGCTGATTGCTGGAGGAAGTCAGAGAGTACAAGAAAACAGGGAGGTTTAAAGCCAGGCCAGGCACACATATGGGGAATTATAAAATCCAGGCTGGTAACAGGCAATGCTAAAAGTGTTAGAGGAGCAGACAGCATCTCATTGTGCATGAGAAGAGAGAGCAAAATTCTTTCAAGCATGTATGTTTAGAATCATAGAGTGGTTTGGGTTGGAAGGGACCTTAAAGATCATCTAGATCCAACGTCCTGCAGGGGCAGGGACACCTCCCACTAGAACAAGGTGCTCAGAGCCCCATCCAACGTGGCCTTGAACACTTCCAGGGATGGGGCTTCCACAACTTCCCTGGGCAACCTGTGCCAGTGTCTCACCACCCTCACACTAAAGAATTTCTTACTAATATCTAAGCTAAATCTCCCCTCTTCCAGTTTTAATCCATTACCCCTTGTCCTCTCACTACAAACCCTTATAAAAAGCTCCTCCTCAGCTTTCCTGTAGCCCCCTCAGGCACATGAAGGCTGCTGTGAGGTCTCCCTGGAGCCTTCTCTTCTCCAGGCTCAACAGCCCCAACTCTCTCAGCCTGTCTCCAGAGCAGAGCTGCTCCACCCCTGCTGAATACTGGGTCACTCCTTAGCCCCACTGGGGCTAACCCACCTTTTCTCTATCTCCAAAGCATCTGGAAGAGAGAGAAGTCTGAGCCAGACAGGTCACTCCCAGCTTCAAAAAACTGCAGCAGCATCATTTGCCCAGGAAGATGCCTGGTACCACACTGGGCTGTCCTCTCCTTATGGCCATTCTGTGTCAGTGTCTGCCTGAAATTGCATGAGACACTTGGAGCAGGCAAGTCTACCTCACACCTCTGCTTGTGTTTCTCCAGGGCTTAGTGGAGAAATTGCTATGATTTTCAGAAGATGACACAGCTAACTGAGAAGCTGTGGAGTCCAGATGTGCTCCCCAGAGTGGGCTAGCTGGGATTTTTGGGTTCTGCTCCACTACCCACAGTCTGAGGGTCCTGCAAGGCACTGGGGACAAAGTGAGGGCCACACACCATGAAGACCTCTTAAGGCTAAAAAAACTGCTGAAATAACCAAGAGCTGGCTTGGTAGTGAAGAAACACAGCAAAAAGGAGGGACTAAAGTTGTGATCCTTTCTTATGAGTGGCATTTAATTTCCCCTTTCCCACCACCAAAATATCAATGACTTGGTAACTTCAGTAAAAGAGAAGTGAAAGAAAGAGGAGGCAGCAAAGTCCTTGAAGTCCTTGGGAGCTGCTTTCCGCAGGCAGAGGTACATCTGGCACCATCAGCAAGCATGATCCTCCACCAGCACATGACCAGCACGTTTGTTTAGTGGGTTTTTTTTGTCAGACAGTTTTATTTAGGGTTCTAAAATGAGTTTTCTAATAAAAATAAAATGCTCAAAATGTGCAGTCCTCTTGGGGGGGTGTCCCTTCTGCCACTGAATGAGTGCAAGAGCAGGGCAGTGCTGGAGAGAGGGAAAAGAAACTGGGCAGGGGAGCAGGAAACAGCAAGGGGCTGCAGGGGAGCTGGGTTCCAGCCACCTCCTGCACTGAATTGTCCTGCCAGTGAAAGGCTGGGAGACGGGAGGGGCAGAGGGTAGGAGAGAGAAGTGGCCCTGAAGCAGACATGTGCTCCCAATATCTCCCAAGTGGCTGTGCTGGCTGCCACCTGGCTGAAGTGCTGGGTCTTGCCTTGCCCTGGTGAGCAGCTTCTAGCCCCTCTGCAGGTATAGAGTTCCCGTGGCCTCCTGCTGTGTTCATGCCATCCCCAAGTCCTCCTGAGAGGTCCACATGGTCATGCATGCCCTGCAGCATGGCACGCAGAGGTTCATCCTCCCATGCAGACCAGGCCCAGTGTCCCTGCTCCCATCAGCATTCATCTTGCTGGATCTTCTCTTTCTGGTTCTCCTCCATCTCCTTCTTCTTTGGCACAGTTAATGCAACCATCCCTTCCAGGGCTGGAAAGGCAGGAGGCCGTGCCTGAAGTGGAAGAAAAGGGCAATATCAGGCATGGGAGTGACACAGACTGGCACAAGTCTGGGCTTCTCCCTGCCATAGAAGACTTGGTCCTATCATTTGCAATCATGAGGCTCCCATTCTGTTCAGGGAAGAGCCCCAGCCCCACAGTCTGAGCTCTCATTCATCCTTATAAATATCTAAAGAGTGGGTGTCAGGAGGATGGGCCAGACTCTTCTCAGTGGTGTCCAGTGACAGAACAAGGGACAATGGTCACAAATTGGTCAACAGGAGGTTTAACCTAAATAGAATAAACTACTTCATTAGTGTGAGGGTGACAGAGCCCTGGGACAGGCTGTCCAGGGGCGTTGTGGAGGCTCCATCCCTGGAGGCACTTAAAACCTGCCTGGACACCTTCCTGTGTGATGTGCTCTAGGGGATCCTGCTTTAGCAGGGGGTTGGACTAGATGATCTCCAGAGGTCCCTTCCAACTCTGACAATTCCATGATTCCGTGAGCCATATATTTTAGGAGAATGGAACACTAAGCTGAATGACAGGTTGAATGAAATGCAGCAGCACCAACTGTACATTGGTGGGCTCAGGGAACTGGAATTCCTCCTATGTGGACAACAGCTCACCAAGGGAATTCTGGGGAGCAGCCAGTGTCTCAATCTCAGAGAATGGCAGCAGAGAGAGGGAGAGAACAAGAGAAGAGCCAGTATCTTTGCTCAAGGCACCTCATCTACACTCTCCCAAAGGATGAGCTAACAGGGAGACTGCAGAGAAGGGCAGGAGGAGCATCTGTGGGTGGAGGGCCTGTGCTGCAAGAGAGGAACCTTGCTGACTTGGCAAAGCAAGACCACGAAGGCATGTACAAATGCTTTGAGACCCTAAAGCTCCTGACTGGATGAGAAGCTGTTGAAGCTCACAGAGCTGGACACCCAGGTATCCCATCTCCTGCCAGCTGAGGCTTTGCAGCTACACTGTCAAGGGTTTAGGTTCATGGTTTTAGGCCAGAAAGGGTGATTCTAATCATCCTGTCCTGGACTTGCACAGTTTAGAGAGTTACCCAGAAGCTGCAGATTTCTGCCTCAGATTAGCCTTTACCACCAGTGCTGATGAAGGGCTGATGACAAAGAACAAGAACACAAGCTGCTCTGGCACTACCCGCAGTGCTGGGTTTTTTAAATCTTAATCTTGCCTTCTGATGCTGCCTGTCCTCAGCCTCCAGCCACTGGAGTTTGCTGAGGGAAACTCTGAAGGAAGAATTCACTATGGAATCCATTTCCAGGGAAGCAGCATGAAAGTGGCAGAGAAATGGTCTGACTTGTTTGCATGGTTTTTTTCCAGTGACATGATGGGGAGGGATCAGTCCTGGCTTAGTTTTTGGGATGAAAACGGCAAGGCAGAGTTTTCAAAAGATGAGATACTGGAACAAGATGAGCAAACAAAGGGCAGTAAGTTGGCAGAACTCAGGTGTGAGGGCTGAGCCAGCAACAATCCAGAGACCAGCAGGCAAATATATGGAGCTGGAGACTCTGTTACATCCAAGTATCCAGATAAGCAGGAAGAGAAAGGACACCTACAAAAGCCTAGACATTAATCCTCCTCTCCTACAGCATGGGTTGATCTCTGGGAGAATAAACAAGAAGCTTTTCAAGGCTGGGCTGTGATTGTCTTCTGGGAGGTTTTAGCCCTTCTCTGAAGTGCCTGACCTGCTCCCAGAGGAATGCCATGGTCAGCCAGACCTGCCAGTGCCTGGGATACAGATGTCACCACATGTCTGTGACACCTTTGACAGGCTATCCCAGTCCCACTGTTCCTCTGCTGCTGTGTTCCAGGGACATTTCACTGTTCTCTCTAGGGTACCCAGGGGAAGGTCAAATAAGGGATGATGTCCAGTAAAACTAACAGAAAGGGGGTGACAGACACTTACCCTTTTTTGTAGGGCCAGAGCTAGAACACAGACTGCAAGCAGGAGGAAGAGAACGAGCGTGAGCCCAAAAGTAACCTGCCCACTGAAGATAGCAGGAGGGCTGGAGACCTGGGCACCTGTGAGGAGGAACACCAGTTAGGAGTGAGAGAAAAGTTGATTTTGCACTGGGGCATTGCTCAGGGAGAGGCAAACTGGACAAGGGTGCAGGGAACTGGAAGGAGAAACAGGAGGAACTGGTCAAAGGTAAGAGAAGGTATCTGCAAGATGGGATCCAAGCAAAGGGGAGAAGGAAGGGGTGAGGCTGAGAGGGTGCCAGGGAACTGAGCAGGGTGAGAGGAAGGGACAGTACCTGTGATCTGCAGCCTGTACTCTGCTGCTCCCAGGCTGCCTGCTGGGCCACGCACGCTGCACTCCCACCTGCCTGTGTCTTTTCCCGACACCTGCGGTATTTCCAAGGTGGGGCTCTCCAGGTTGCGGGAGGTGGCCACAGCCAGCTTGCTCCTAGTGGGGGCTGAGTCGAGGTGCTTCCACTGGAACCGCTCATGTCCCCAGGGGTGTGTGAGGCTGCAGATGAGCAGCAAGCGAGACCCCTCAGAAACTGGTCCTGGGATGCTGGGGGTGACTGCAGCAAGGGAAAGAAACTACCCTCAGGAGAGGCCGCAGGCAGGTCCAGATCTCTTCTCCATCCCTCCTTCTAACACACCCCTCCTTCATTACCTCCTCTAGTTTATTTTCCTTGTCTTCCTCAGGCTTCAAGAAGAACATTCAGGTTACCCAGGAAAGCCCCTGCTTTCAGCAGAGCTCAGTGCAGTGCCCTGAACAGAGACCTTGCTTCTCACCCTGGGGTGAGCACCTGTGAGCAGTCGCAACCCACTCTCACTGCACTGATGTCTTGGGAGGTTTGCTGCAAGCAGGGGGGGACCCCAGAGGAGTGATGCACCTCCCTGTCTCTCCTCTCACCTGTGATCACTGCCAAGGTCAGGTCCCTCTTGATGGTCTTGCTGCCAACTGAGATGGCACAGCGGTACTGCCCTGCATCACCCGGCCCCACCGTGTGCAGGCGAAGGGGGAAGCTTCTGCCACTTGAGTTCTGGGGGCTGTCCCAGTCTTGCAAGTGTTCTCCTGTGAGGCGGCTCCACTGGGCTGTCACCGCCTTGATCCCAAGGGCACTGGGAAGGTAGCTGAGGGTGCAGGGCAGATCAGCTGCAGAGCCAGCCGCAGCATAGACCACAGGGCTGGCTGGGCCATCAAAACCTGAGCTCGAGAGAGGGGACAGTGTGAGGCGATGGCTGGAAAGAGCTCTGCAGGGAGGTGACTGGCCTGGGAGGTGAGGGCAGGGGAGGAGCTGGGAAGCTGAAGCCACTGGGATAAGTCAGTCACGTCGAAGGGAGCGACTTGGGGATGCTGGGGCAGCACAGGCGGGGCTGAGCTCACCTAGAACCTGCAGGTTGTACGTGGCAGAGACGACCAGATGATCAGCGTATCTGAGCTCGCAGCGCCAGGAGCCGGCGTCACCGGTGGCTGCCCGGGGGATGGAGAGAGCCCCGTGCGAGGAGAAGAAGGTCCCCGAGGTGGGGACCGGGTGCCCGTCGTGGAACCAGCGCGTGGCCAGGAGGCCAGCCCGGTGGCTGGAGTTGCAGCTCAGCAGCAGCGGCTCGTTCTCAACCACGGGGCTGGATGGGCTGAGGGTCACTGCAGGAAGAGGAAAGAGGGGGAAGCAGGAGAAGCTGAGATCATGGGGGAGACGCCAAACTCTCCCTCCGTGCCCCTTCTGCCCCAGCTCCATCCCTCGGGCAATCCTCTTCTGGGCGGCTGCTGCCTGTGCTCTGACCTGCCCGGGCAAGCACAGCACCCCCTGGCAAGCACAGCATCCCCAGCCAGTCCCGCACCTGCAACCAACACCCCGCAGGGTTCCTCCTACCTGTCACCACCCCCAGCTCCACCTGGCAGCTCTGGGCCCCCACGCTGTGTGCCACCCGCGCCTCGTACAGCCCCGCGTCCTCACTCCGCACCGGGTCGATCCGCAGGGAGAAGTTCCCGTTGCGAAGGGCGGATGCCTGGACCGACACCCGGGGCCTCATGGGCAGCGCTGTCTTCTGAAGGCCGGAGTACCCCACCTCCAGCACCAGGTGTGGCTCCTGGTGGGCGCTGCGAGAGGGACAAGTCAGATGCTTGTGCCGGAGGGAAAAGTGATGTCAGGGGTGGGAGGCAGGAAGCAGGGGTGTGGGTAAGGAGAAAGGGGGCTCCAAATGTCTCCCACCCTCCCTGGTCCCCCCCACAAGGGCACAGGTTTGTCTTGGTCCTGGGGTACCTCTTCCCACGCCGCTTCCACAGCACGGATGTCTTGTCAGGCAGCTGCTTCCAGCTCCTCCTGATCTTCCCGGGGCTCAGGAGGCAAGGCAGCACGGCTGAACTCCCCGCCGTGGCCCACACCTGCTGCACCCTGCTCCCACCCTCTGCTGTTCCTGGCAGGATGTGGCCAGCTGCAATGAGATGGAGGGTTGAGCAAAGGCTCATGGAGCAGAGGGCAGCACCTGGTCATCGTTGTACCGGGGTCTGAAGGGCACAAATTCTCCCTTCTAGACCTGTCGGGGACCCAGAGGCAGCTTGCTGACCTCCTCTGCCTTCCCTGACAGTTCCAGTGCCTCTTACCATTGAAATCCAGCAGAGTCAAGGTGAGGAAGAGCACCGGGGGCATCTGCCTCATCGTGGCATCCAGGAGAGGAGAGAACCGGGTCTCGGGTCCGTGCTTGGCCAGGTCAGAAGCTCGAAGAAGTCAGGAAAAAATGAAGCCCGGGCAAAGGATGTGTTGGAGTGGGTGGAGGAGCTGGAGGGGGGGCAGCTGGACGTGCTTGCTCTCGTGCTGCCTCTCTCTGATCAAAGCCTTTCCCTGGATGCCCTTATATTGCGGGTGGGCAGCGGGTTTCCTCCTAGCGCCAAGAAGATGCGTCACCACCAAGAAACCAGTAGAAGCCAGAGGCACGTGAAGGCAGGGTGAGCTGGGGAGGGAGGGACCAGAGACACTGCTCTAAGCAGCTTTTAGTGGAAATTCTTTGGGTTGCTGTTGTTTTTCTTACAAATTTCGCTTCTACATAGGCAGTGGAAAAAGTGTAGAAGACACTTCCCAGCAAGTGCCCTTCATGTTTTTCTTTCATCTCTTAACCTTTTTTGGTTTGATGTTTCCACTTCTTACAGCTTCTTTCTAATTGTTTCAGGGCTTTTGAGAACACGTTGATTTTTATTTTTTTTTTCTCTGTTCTTTTTTGTTGTTGTTGGGTCTTTGGTGTGTTTGTTTGGGTTTCTTTTTTCCATCTTTAGTCTTTCATATGTGCTGATTTTTGTCTTTTTCTCATCGGCCAGTTCACAGGCAGCATGAAGAAAGGGTCTATGGGGGGGGTTCAACCAGGGTTCGTGTGACCCATCCATCCAGAGTCCAGGGGCAACATGAGGAAAAGCTGAGGCTGTCTGAGGAGACACAGAGGAGCACCCAGGAGAAGCAACCAGCACTGAACCTCATAGAATCACAGAATGGTTTGGGTTGGAAGGAACCTTAAAGATCATCTAGGTCCAACCAGAACACTAGACCATGTTGCTTAGGGCCCCATCCAAGCTGCCCTTGAACACTTACACAGTTTTCTTGGGCAACCTGTGCCAGTGTCTCACCACCCTGAAGCAGAGGGGCTGCACACTGTGGCACTGTGAGGGATGTGAGGGTGGGACCCTCCTCCTCCAGCAGCTCTGTGGAAAACCCTCCCAAGTCTGTGCACTGGGGGGACTCAACACAGCTCCTTGTGTAGCTGCTGAGCTTTGCACGGGGCAATGCCTTTCCATCTGTGTGCCTCACTCTGGGGCCCCTTCTGCCTCAGATACCCCCCATTGCTGTGGCTCATACTTTCCAGCAACCCACTGAGTCTTTCAGACTTAATCAGCCCTTCATGATGGGTGTCAGACACCCAAGCCCCTTGGCAGCTCATCCCCTGAGGGATGAGGTGGGGCTTTTCCTGGGGTTAAAGGAAGGGAGGTGACTCAGAGCAGCCACTTCTTTGCTGTGATCCTTGCTCACTGCCTAGTCTTCCTCAGCTGGGTGGTGAAGGTGGAAGATAAAAGAGAGCAAGTGGTACATCTCACTTCAGCAGCTCCTTGTTGTGGTGGTGGCTCTTGTCTCTTATCACACGTTGCTTCTGAGACTCCTGAGGAGTGGGATCAGTGTAGGGGGACCTGGCTCAACCTCGTGGTCCTCAGTGTCACCAGGGAGCTGCTTTGCAGTGGTCCTTTGTGCCCTCTGTGTTCCGCTGTCCATGGGGCCGCGTGAGAGAAGAAGAGAGAAGAAAACAGGGGGAAGAACCTGTGACGGTTGGTGGGAGATGTTTTTTCCTCCTGTTGAAGAAAAACAGTTTGTGGTGCCCAGTCCAAGCAGAAAGCATCAACCTCTCTTTCCTCTGAATCAGCAGTGAGAGAAGGTGTGAGTGTGTGGGTGAAGGCGAGAGAGAGAGGAGGGAGATGGAGCCGTGGTGGGGAGACACACGCAGCTCCTCTGGGACGCAGCCTGGTGGGACACTGAGCTGGCTCCCTGCTCTCCTCTCCACCCTGACCAGCCCTCCAGCCTTAGCCTCGGTGCCCTGGCACTGTTGCCATCAAACATTTTAGTTCCCCCAAGCCACCCTCAGCTGTATCCATGCCCTGGGAAATGCTCCTTTCTTGGAAGGACCAGCAAAGGAGACAGACGCGTTCCCATCCTGTTGCCACTTCCTGAGGGCTGGTCCTGAGGAGCCCAGGAACATGACAGGAGCTGTCTGGCACTGTGGGGGGGGGGTTGTTTGGGGCCGAGACATTATTGTGCTGAGCGAGCACGTTGTGAAATGAAGGTTCTGGAGGCAGTTTTACTCAGCACCAGGCTATCTTTAGCAGAGCCACCTGTGACGTCTGTCCCTAACGACACGTTTCAAATGCTGACTCCCCTGAGTGGCATTTTCGTCATCTCCCAGAACAGGACCCTGCCAGGGGGTTGTTTGGGGCCGAGACATTATTGTGCTGAGCGAGCACGTTGTGAAATGAAGGTTCTGGAGGCAGTTTTACTCAGCACCAGGCTATCTTTAGCAGAGCCACCTGTGACGTCTGTCCCTAACGACACGTTTCAAATGCTGACTCCCCTGAGTGGCATTTTCGTCATCTCCCAGAACAGGACCCTGCCACAGAAATAACAGTGACCACAGCAAGATCAGCATGGGGGCATCCTCTGAGAACCACCTTCCTGGGTTGCCTGGGGCTGAGGGGGAGGCTGTGAGAAGAGGAGCCCAGGACAGGGATAGAGGAGCCCAGCTCACTAAATACTCCTTTGTCCATCACAGGCATTAGTTGGCTCCATCCAGGTCCCCCCAGACTTACCCTCTGCAGTCACCTTGGGCACAACCTCAATAGATTGCTTTTGCTGTCCCTCTTGGCATGTCTTGTGGGTGCAAACTACCCTTACCAAGAAAAATAGGAATAGAAAACACTGTTCTGCAGAATCACCGAGTTAGTCTTGCTGAAGGAATTTTCTGTTGCATTTCCTGTTTTCTCTGGTGCCCTGTTTTCCTCTGAGTGATTCCATCTGCGTGGTTTGACCCTTGCAGCCTCAAGTCTGGTCACAACCTTCTGCTTCGCGTTGACTTTTTGAGGTGCTCAGTAATTTATTTGTGAGTTTGAACTGACCTAAGAAATTGCACTGTGACTTCAAGACTGGGTGATGAGCTGCACAGCTTGAGATCAGCTGGTCTGGGTGCTCCTGAGATAGACTGTGCACCAAAAGGACCTAATGTAGGACATCCTGACTGCTCTGCCCAGAGCTAGAGCAGACACAACAAGCAACAAGAAGTTAGTTACTAATAAGAGACAGCTACAAACTTTGTGGTGAGGGGGTGTAAACAGAGAGCAGGTCACACCTGGGGAGGCAGGAGGGAAGGTCTGGCAGGGGGTGCAGTGTGAGCAAAAGGTGCTTGGCAGGTTGGTTGTCATCGTGCACCTGGAAGGGCAACAGGGTTCCCTGGGGTCAGACTGGGATTAACTGTGAGACTTCTGGCACTGGCTGGGAAGCTCAGAGGGCTGAAAGAGATATAAGCTCATGTCCAGAGGGTAAGTAACAGAGGTGCCCTTCTCCAGGCACTTAGGATAGATGCAGTAGTTCCTGAGTCAACACCTGGTTGTTGCCAAGAAGCAGAACCTTGAACCAGAAAAAAAGCTGGTGCCCACAGCTTGGCAGGCTTGGTGTGAGATGCACAGTGTGGAAATGCCTGGAAATAGGCACCCCTGAGGTGGAGGACTGCCAGCCAGTCTTCCCCCACAAAGTGCTGTCATGGTTTCTAGCCAGGAGCCAGCCAGGGCTCCACTCTTTGTACAACACTGCTCAGCTTCTTCAAGTCCAGGGTGGGTATCAAACATGCTCCCTTTCTCATGAGAAGAAGTGGTTGCTCTGGACTTCTGTCCCTCCACCATGCCCAGAAGCAGCACTTACCATCTCAGGGCCAGGGTAAGCCACGCATCAGAGAGTGGTCTTGAAGGAGGGACCCATTTATTGGAGGTGACAGATCCCCAAAAGGGGTGACAAGCAGACGATGAGCAAAGAGAAAGTTCACATCTCCCAGTAGATCTGGGCAAAGCTGAAATGTGTGTCTGCAGAAGTGCTGCGAGGCAGGGGGGAGTGGCTGCCTGACAGTTATTGAGAGGCTCTTTTGAAAAGGTCACTTTTAGAGGGTTTGCTGAATGGGCAGTGCCTGAATCACCGCAGGTCTCTGATGTGGAGCTGAGGAGAGTTTAGCAGTGGCCTCCTTCCCAGTATCCCACAGGAACACTTTTAGAAAAGCATAGCTTTATGGAGTCTGGATAGATCTCCAGCCTCTATCTTCACAGTGCTCAAAAGCAAGTGACCTTTCTATGACAATCCTCAGCAGAGAGCTGAATATCCCAGAGAAACATGAATTAGAAAGTCAGGAACAACACTGGGGGGTGCTAACTGAAGCTGTGGACTGCATTTCTGCTAAAAAAACCCAGTGATTTAATCACTGAAGAGAATCTGCAGCATTCATGGCCATATTTGGCAGCCAGCAGCTTGTATCTGGCCAGCATTAGCTGTAGAGAAGTGTGAAACTGCTGCTCTCCTTCACAAAGCCCCAGAATCTTCTCAGGAAAGAGATAGGATGCTGCAAGTTCCTCTTTGGACACCTTCAGCTAACTGTGGAGATGGTGATGGGTATCAGTGTCCTGGTCAATATCTAGTTAAGAGATGTCTTTGATGCCACAGGATGTCTTTGATGCTACAGCCTCTGTGTGACAGAGAGGGTGAGGTGGATCAACTATAAACCTCTGAGCAGCAAGCTGGGTTCCTTTTGGACTCACTTCTCATGGCCACATTCATGCCATGCTTTTAATTCAGTGGAAAAATATACCATAGCCTACCAAAGGTCCCAGGGAGCTTCCTCAAGAGCAGAGAGATATCCAGGAGCTCAACACGTGCAAGGAATGGGAGAGGCAGGTCAGCTGGGAGGAGAAAGCTCTCAATTCCAGGGGCCTGACACTGAGGTGAAGGAGCCAGGCACTGACCCAAGGTGCCACATGTTGCTGAGTGCCTGGGACAGCAGCAGGATGAACCAAAAACCTTCACTTGACTTAGGCATGAGCTGCAAGGAGATGAGGTGTGTTCTGATAGGAGCTAGAGCTTGGTATGAGATTGGG